TCTGTACACCCATGTTCACAGTCCCATTATTCACAATCGCTAAAACATGGAAGCAATCCAAGTGTGTACCAAAGATGAACAGATAAGCAAACTGTGGTCTATCCATACCATGGACAGACCTTAAAAAGGAAGGAAATTCTGACACATGCTACAACGTAGTCAAACCTTGAGAATATAAAGCTTAGTAAAATAAGCCAGTCACACAAAGATAAATACTGTATGATTCTGCCTCTATGAGGAACTTAAAGTAGTCAAATCCACAGAGGAAAAAAAGTAGAATGGTGGTTGCCAGGGGCTGGGGAGGAGCAAAAGGGAGTTACTGTTTATTGGGTATGGAGTTTCAGTTTTGCAGGATGAAAAGGGTTCTGGAGATGGGATGGTGGCAACAGCTGCACAAGCATATGAATGTACACAATAGCCCCAAACTGTACTTAAAAATGGTTCAGATCATCAATTTTATGGTACGCATATTTTATCACAATTTGAAAACAAACAGAAAAAAAGACCACCCATGGGGAAAAGAAAAAGAATACATACTCAGCATTTGCTCGTATGTGCACGTGAACATTCTGAAAGAACACAACACAGAAGAAACTAATCAAACTCATTGCGGGAGAGGAGGATGTCTGGGTGGCTGGAGGAAAGGACGGGAGCGTGACTTCACTGGATACTCCTCGGCAGGTTTTGAAATTTGTGGATAAATGGTCTGTCTGAAAATCTCTTAAAAATATATTAACAAACACTCCCCTGACAGCACGCTCCTATCAAGACACCCCCTCTACCTCTCAGCTCCCTTTACAACACACTGCCAGATAGCGGCTTTGTCTTCAGCTCCCACTCATTCTCCAATCCAATCGTCTAGTATTCAATCCCTCAAGACACAGAAACTGCCTGTTCCTCTCCAGCTAATCAACCACCTCCACTCTGCCAAACCCAACATGCACTTCCCTGACATCAGCGTCTCAGAATTCCCACGTGCCTGACTTGCCGCCTTCTCCCTGTTTCCTTCCTTCTCAATCGCTGCCATGGCTCCTCCTTCTCCGCCTGACCTCAGCCCTGAGCCTTCTTCTCTTTGGGAGCTACTTACTCTCACTCAAAGAGATCCAGTCCTCTAGAACTTAGAACTCCCATTGTCGATCTCCAGCTTGATCTCTCTACTGGGGTTCAGAACTGCCTACATGACATCTGTACTTGGATGTCTCACAGACACCCAACTTTCCCAGCAAACCGGAAGCTGAGCAGGCCAGGTCCCTGTCCTCCATCCTGTTTCTCCCCTAGTCCTGCCCATCTCAATACATGATGCCACAATTTGCTAAGCTGCTTAACTGAAAACCAACCCTTCCCTCACCTCATTACCCTACATCCAAATCCAAGCACCAAAACAAAGCATCCAAATCAAGTCCTGTTGGTTCATCTTCGAAAAGCATCTTAAATCTGCCACTTCTTTTCATCTTTATTGTCAATGCCCTGGTACAAGCCACCGTATTTTTTTTTCCCTGAACTACTGCAACCGCCTCCTAGCTGGTCTCACTGCTTCCATTTTGGCCCCTCTAAGTCATTCTCTCAGAAGTAATCATTCTCTGCTACCTGTGCTGTCAGTCCCCTGGGGGAGAAAAAAAGGTCCTGAATGGCCTTCCAATGCTTTCATTACAGAATCTAAACTGGATCGTGGCCTACAAATCCCTGCATGCCTTGGCTCTGCAATCTCAATTTTTGTCACAATCTTAGTTCCAACCGCAATCACCTCTGTTTCCAGAACATCCTCACCTCATGGCCTCTGTATATACTGTTTCCACTGTCTTTTTCCCCGATCTGCCTCCTTCTCATCCTTCATGTCTTAGCTTAAACAGCACTTCCTGAGACTTCTCTGAATGTCTCCTCTAGCACAGCCTTTACCCATCACTCCTCCACATCACCTGTCTTACTGCCTTCAGAGCCCCCATCTCCATCTGCAACGATCTTGTTTGTTTGTGTTTATAATCAGTCCCCTCAAGTAGAATTCACAGTTCTTGAGAGCAGGGCTCATGTCCACCTTGCTGACACTGCACAGTGCCTGCATCGGGAAAGGCATTCAGTGCAAATCTGTTGAATAAATACATTAAGATAAATGAATGAATAAACAAATGAACCGATGACTTTCTGAAGTGCTGGCCAGGCTTACCCAGGACAGCCAGAGGCCCTATCCAGGTAGGACTAAGACAGTTTGCATTTTAAGACTCCTGCATTTACTAGCAAAATGAACACTACATTTCAGCAATGGTGAACCCTGATTCTTCAACACTGTAAAATAAAACTACACACCATATGACAAAGCTTTAGAAAAATACAGAGAATCTTAAAATATTTGGACAATATCCTTGAACCAACAGCATGCCTCAATATCTCAAAGTATATATATATATATATATACACACACACACATACACACACTCCCACAGAGAATGTATGTGTATGCATGTGTGTGTGTGTGTGTGTGTGTGTGTGTGTGTGTGTGTGTGTGTGAGTCGAACTTACCT